GAAAGAAAGAAAGAAAGAAAGAAAGAAAGAAAGAAAGAAAGAAAGAAAGAAAAAGAAAGGAAAGAAAAAGTTTTATAAATGTAGGGCATTTGAGTTGGGCCAGGAAGATTAAATAGGATTTGTATATTAGGGGCCAGAAAACATCCTGAATGAAGGCAAAAGAATCCACTCTCAAAATCACTCTCTGAAAATGTTCTTTTTGCTTTTGGTCACATGGGTACTAAAAAGAAAATTTTTTACCTAAATGTTTAAATCCATAAATGTTTGCTAAAAATAAAAAAGATAAACTTTAACCATGGAAGAAAATTTAACGTCATCAAGAAAAACAAAGCATAGAATTAAGTACTGGAACTCAGGTATGATAACTCCTTATTCATTGCTGCGAGAAAGCCTGGATGTAAAAGTCCCCACCAGTATCTGACATAACGGCAGATAGCATGAGACTTAATGGCCAATTAGATGAAATGACTGACCCATTTTATCAAACACTGGCATGAGTTAGGCAAAATCACTCAGATTTTTTATATCTTTTAAATGAGATTAAATTTCTGACCCAGGATGCGCCCGCACTCATGGTAAAATGGAAAAGTGTAGACAGTAGAAGAAATTATTGTGATGTGTCAAATAAAATCTTAAATAAAATTCATCACATAAACAGTAGCTGAAACTGTCTTAATTATCTGTTGATTGCCTACTGAAGACTAGAAACTCCTAGTGAATGAATGAATGAATGAAGATTTTACTGAATTTTTATAATATATTTCTAGAGCACTGTTCAGTTTTCCACAGAACTCTTTTAAGTCTGTCAGTAGATATCAGTGGAACAAAAAACCTGGTGAGGTGGCCAGGATGGGTATTTCTATATGCATCTACTAAAGGTTGAAACTGAGACCCAGGAGTTGTAGTATGTTTTACATTAAGTGTAGGAAGTACCAGGAGCAGGGACAGCTTTTTATACAATCTTAGACCAGTATTCTTTCTATTTCAATACACTGTCTCTTTTTGGTGGGTACAATGCTACTCTAATGTTAATAATATCTCAATAAAGCTGGAAAAGATTCTAATCTAGGAAATATATTTTGTTAAAGTGTTTAAATACAAAATCAGTGTAAACTGCAGAAATCTGTCCAACAGTTGGTGAGAATAGAGCTTTTATAAAATAAGGGTTGCTTCACTCTACAGAAAAACTTTGAACTCAGAAATTCCAGGACTGCACAGTTTGCTTTATTTGCATGACCTCCCAGGGCAGGGAGTCAGGGCAACTTTGTGAACCTCAAGGTAATCAGTCAGATGAAGACTATACTTTCCCTGTAAATCACCCAGAGCAAGTCAGAAAGCTTCTCTTTAGGCTGTATCCAAGAGGAAATATTTAACTAAAGTCAATAACTGCTCCTCCCCACCCTAGATCAATTTATTAGTTTAGATTTTAGTTTTAAAGAGTCCTCTGAAATCTCCCTCAAAGCTTAGTCATTTAAAATTTCACCCTTGTCTTCCTCTTGCCATATACAAAGACTGCTCCTATGTACACTTTGAATGATTTTCTTGTTTAATGACATGTCTCTCCTATCTTTACGTCTGGAGTACAAATTTTTCAACAAATGTCATTTTATCTGTATTTTAAAATGAGAAATTATAACTTCCTATTCTATTCTGTGACCAAAATTTGGTATAGTTTACTTTATTTTCAAGCTTATAAGGTTTAAAATTCCATAGCTACACTTGGTATAGACATTGTGTAAAGTTTCCATGAGAAAATATAGTTGTATATCTAATATTGGTGTTTTGGGAACAGTGATAAATTAACAGACATTTTTGAGTAACTGGTTATTGTGACCAATCATATTTTCAGAACTCTTAAGTCAGATGAATCCATCAAGTGTTGGGGCTGTGTTCTTTATTTTTATTTATTTATTTATTTATTTATTTATTTATTATTTTATTTTACTTTTTATTTTTTTTTCAACGTTTATTTATTTTTTTGGGACAGAGGGAGACAGAGCATGAACGGGGGAGGGGCAGAGAGAGAGCGAGACACAGAATCGGAAACAGGCTCCAGGCCCTGAGCCATCAGCCCAGAGCCTGACGCGGGGCTTGAACTCACGGACCGCGAGATCGTGACCTGGCTGAAGTTGGAGGCTTAACCGACTGCGCCACCCAGGCGCCCCTTATTTTACTTTTTAGAGAGAGGAGGAGGAGAGTGTGTGAGGCGGGAAGAGAGTCAGAGGGAGGGAGAGAGAGAATCTTAAGCAGGCTCCATGCTCAGTGTGTAGCCGATGTGGGGCTTGATCCCACAACCCTGGGATCATGACGTGAGCAGAAATCCAAAACCAGATGCTTGATCGACTGAGCCACCCAGGCATTCCAAGAGCTGTGTTTTCATATTTATATTATGAGCTCCTACCTAATATACAAGAATTAGGATTCCACAGATGTTTGTTGAATGAAGAACACTTTGATAGCAGGAAACAGCATTTTATTTTATTTATTGGAAGCAGCACTTTATTTTATTATTATTAAGTTTATTTATTTATTTTGAGAAAGAGAGAGCAAGCACACAGGGGAGGAGCAGAGAGAGGGAGAGAGAATCCCAAGGAGGTTCCACACTGTCGGCTTGCAGCCCTACAGGGGACTTAAGCCAAGGAACTGTGAGATCATGACCTGAGCTGATATCAAGTCAGATGCTTAACCAACTATGTCACCCAGTCTCCTTGGAAATAGCATTTTAAGTTTGCATTATCTTTGAATATTCTCACTTGGACAAAATACTCTCTGTACCTCATCAATTTTAAGTTGCTAGATTTACATTACAGAATATTTGGAACATACTTTTGTGCTAAAGAATATCCAGTGATTATCTGAAATTCAAATTTAACTGAGTGCTCTGTATATGCATATATTTTTTAAAAAATTAATGTTTATTTATTTTTGACAGAGAGAGACAGAGCATGAGTGGGGGAGGGGCAGAGAGAGAGGGAGACACAGAATCAAAGCAGGCTCCAGGCTCTGAGCTGTCAGCACAGAGCCTGACTTGGGGCTCGAACTCACAGACTGCGAGATCATGACCTGAGCTGAAGTTGGGCGCTCAACTGACTGAGCCACCCAGGCGCCCCTCTGTATATATATATTTTAATGTTTATTTATTTTTGAGAAAGACAGAGTGCAAGTGGGGGAGGGGCAGAGAGTGAGGGAGACACAGAATCCAAAGCAGGCTCCAGGCTCTGAGCTGTCAGCACAGAGCTCCACGTGGGGTTCAAACTTGCTAACCATAAGATCATGACCTGAGCCAAAGTTGGATGCTTAACTGAGCCACCCAGGCACCTCCCTGACTGTTCTGTATTTTATCTGGCAACCCTATTAATTTATCCCAACAATATGCACTGAGTCTCTGATGTGTGTCAGGGATTTGGCCAAGCAATGTCACTAGACAGTAGTGAAAGAAGTAGACCCAGTGCAGCCTTTGTGGCAATAACTATATAACAGGGAAGACAGACATTGAACCATTAATTAATTACAATTAATGAACAATTAATTTCAATGGTGAAAATGCTATTAAAGAGATGTTTGAAATAATGTAACAGTGGACCTGATCAAGTCAGGAGTTAGAAAAGGCTTCTCTAGCCTAGAGGAAGACAATTAAATTGAC